AGAGATTTAGGCCTCTTTCCGGCCATCTAAAGAAACTAGATTTAGTTCATTTTTGGGCCTATATTGCAGAAGCTTTAATTTCATGTCACATAGGAGCTAGAAAAATAGAGCGACCGTTAAATGGAACTAAATCAGAACCATTGAACAATAAAAAGAATTAACAAAACTGGCCTATTGATGATGTAAAGTTTGACAGGATAGCTCATTTTCCATTGCATGCAAAAACGAAATCTGAAGATTAAACTCCCAGAATGTAAAGGCAGTTCCCGTTTTCTTTGTCAAAAATGTAAAGTACATCTATGTTTGACAAAAAATAAAAATTATTTTTTACAATTTCATAAACCAAAATTTTGTTTAATATATTATAATCATTAAATCATCTTTTTTTAATAAATAAATGTATTTTTATCCTAACGTCTAGCTGTAAAACTATATGTCATACTCAACTCATTAGTTTGTAACCAGTTAGTCACAATGTCGTCAATTGGCGACATCAAAAACGGGCCTTATTTTAATAAAAAAAATGGTAATATTCTTACCAAAAGACGTTAAGAATACCATAATTGGGTAGGAATTATTAACAAAATATTTTTATTGCAATTAAAAAAAAGCGTGACCGAAAGGGTTAAGATGAAAATCTCATTTCAGACAACTAAAGCAATAGTAATCAGCAAGGAACCAACCATATGTAAAATAGAAGTTGATGGCATCAGCATTCATTTAACAAGTAATGGAAATAAAATACCTTGGAATTACACTGTCCGGCTATGGAGACCTGAAGAAAGAAGTGAGGGATCAAGTACAAAAAGCAAATGGCAGGATGCCTTAATATGGCGAAACAGACACATTAACACTGAGATGTTCTGGCCGACAATCAAGAATTTATAAAGCCAGTTCAAGACCAATAATAACATGTGGCTCAGAATCAAGACCCGACACAGTCAAAACACAAAGGCTACTGGAAACGACAGAGATGAGATTGAGAAAAATTACAGGAAATACGCTGAGAGATCGAAAGAGAAGTGAACACATTAGAAGAAACTGTAACGTACAGTGTATAAACGAATGCACACTAAATAGAAAAAAAAATGGAATAACCACATAAGAAGAATGGGGGAGCCCCGTATCGTCAAAATGGCAAGAGATAAGTCACCAATCGGCAGAAGAAATTTCGGACGACTGCACAAAAGATGGTGACAACCTTTCATAGAGGTATAAATCTGCCAATGAACAAGCAGAATTACTTATAAAGAGGAAGAAGAGGAATAGGAAAGGCTGAAAAGAATTATTTCGTTACCAGAAAAGAGCTCCTAGCTATTATAAAATTCCTAGAACATTTTAATACTTTCCTTTATAACATAAATTTTATAATTAGAACTGACCACGGCGCTTTGCATAGGCTAATGAATTTTAAAAAGCTAAGGGGGAAATTGCTTGGTGGATAGAGGCTCCGACAGTATAACTTCGACCTAGTACATCGAAAAGGGCGTCTTCATAACAATGCCGATATTCATTCTAGTCGAACAAATGGAGTAAGACCTATTTGTCAGGAAATAACCAAATGCAGTGGAACTATCAAGGCGTAATGGGCTCAATGAGAATCTCTGTATTATTCTAATAGTCTATTATATCGGAAGTGGGAAGGTCTTGATGGAGTACGTACAACTGTGAACAAGTGGTACTGCCAAAATTATAATATAACTTAAAAGTGTGTTGCAACAACTTCATAGCAGCCTTTCTGTAGGACATTTTGGAGTCGAAAGAACAGTGGCAAAATTTTACTGGATCAATTGTCGCCGGGATGTACAAGATTGGTGTAAGAAATGTGATTTATGTAATGGTAGGAAAAAAACCTAGAACACGACGTCTTGGTAAAATGCATATCTTTCCGGGGAGCCTTTTGAATGACTTGCAGTGGATATTCTTGGTACACTTCTGATAACAGAGAGAGGAAACAAGTTCTTAATGGTTGTAATGGATTATTTTTGAAATTGGCCTGAAATTGCACCCCTTCCTAATCAAGAAGCGACTACAGTAGCAGAAGCATTTATAGCACACGTCCTATCAAGACATGGAGTTCCTTTAGAGTTACATTTTGATCAAGAACGAAATTTTAAGTCAGAATTATGGCAAGAATTAATGAAAGTCTTGGGTATTAAGAAAACACGCACTATGGCGCTCCATCCCCAATCAGACGGATGGTCGAAAGACATAATAGATATATTTATCAATAGCTTTCAAAGTTTGTCGCCGATATAAAAATATATTGGGATACATTAATTGCTATATTCCTGTTAGCATATAGAAGTTCCGAACATGAATCAACTGGTTATTCTCCATCAATGATGACCACCGGAAGAGAAGTGAAACTTCCTCAAATTCTTATTTTCGGAAGATTGCCTCCCTGTAATCCAATGTAATGAAAGATTCGAAAATATTTTACCAACTATCGTCACTCATGATTCCGAAAAGATTTGGTTATCTTTTAAAAATACCTTGATACAGACCTTGACTGACTGCGAGGCACAGTCTAATGCCGTCTCAACCGGACCAAAAAAAGTGTGGATGTCTGCAGATACTTTTGACCTCGTTGAAGAACGTAGAAAACTTAAAATTGCTGGAATCGAGAACCCTCTCAGGAATTCCCAGTACCGACAGCTATCTAGAGCTATTCAGGCTACTTGTAGACGAGACAAAAACAAGCATATAGAGAAAATCTGCAGAGAAATTCAACTACACGCCGACACAAATAACACCAAAGAACTCTTTGATAAAGTCAGACAACACACACGTAAATTCAAGCAGAAATCTTGGTCTATCAAAGATGATGAAGGTAATGTACAGACGGATTTGGACAAGGTTATTGATGTTTGGAGGGCGTATTGTAAGTCTTTATACGCCAATACGGACCAGATGCCAGCGGACGCCCCGTTTGTACCTGACTGCCAGACCTCCACTTTCCATTCTCCTTCAACAGAGACACACCACACTAGTTTTGAGTCTGAACCTGACATACTTTTTTCCGATGTGGAATTCGCTTTAAAAAGACTTAAGTTAAACAAAGCAGCAGGATATGATCTCATTACTGCAGACGTCTTGAAGCATCTTCCGGAATGTGGAGTGAAAATATTACATCGATTGTGCAATGAAATATGGCACACAGGCGTCTGGCCTGAGGATTGGAGAAAGACCATAATCATACCTCTTCATAAGAAAGGTTCAACAAATAATTGTAACAACTACAGGCTATTAGCTCTAATATCACACGCCAGTAAGGTGATCCTCTCCATACTGCAACGGCGTCTAGAAAACTTCATAAGTTGGCAAATAGCGCCTGAACAGGCTGGATTTGTAAAGGGCAGAGGTACTAGAGAACAAATCCTTAATGTACGAAACATCATAGAAAAAGCCAGAGAATACCAGATCCCGATATTTATATGTTTCGTCGATTAAACAAAGGCCTTTGATAATGTTAGATGGGACAAACTATGGAACATATTGACGACAATGGGTGTACCTAAACACTTGACTCACCTTATTAGCAAACTGTATCAAGATAACCTGGCATATATTCGAATGGACGGATATCTGTCTGACAAATGCACTTTGGAGAAGGGAGTACGCCAAGGATGCGTTTTATCTCCCTTATTATTTAACATCTATTCGGAGTTCATAATACGCAGAGTTTTGGATGGTTGGGAGGGAGGAGTAAACCTAGGTGGTGTTAAGATATCTAACTTGCGTTTCGCAGACGACACTACACTTCTAGCCCCTACTCCAGAAGAAATTATTAATTTATTAAGAAAACTCGAGGTAGAAAGTGCTAAATTTGGACTCATGGTTAACTACAACAAAACCAAAATCATGGTTATTGATCGCCAACAACAGTTTCCTGAAACCCAAACTATTGCGGGATGCGAGGTAGTCTCATCTATGATATATCTTGGAGCTCTAGTTAACAACACAGGCAGTTGTGAATCCGAAATTAGAAGACGCATCAAAGAATCAGATCGACAACGTATAGACGCCTTCGAAATGTGGACATGGAGACGCCTGCTTCGAATTCCATGGACGGCTCGCCGTACAAATATCTCGGTTCTGGATGAAATTAAACCGGATCAGCGTCTCTCCAGTACCGTTTACTCTAGAATTTTAAAGTTCTTTGGCCATATCATCGAAGTGATCACAAAATGGAGCGGTTGGTGGTCCAAGGAAGGCCTCAGACTCAACGCCAACGCGGAAGATCTCCACAGCGATGGGCGGACATTACTAAAAAACTTCTCAATAAACAGTATACTGAGGCAATACATATAACTGATGACCGCGACCAGTGGAGAAATATTATCAATCAAACTGTCCGAGCTGCTGAAGCCAAATTATGAACCACAACACATCTACTAAGATGTTAATGACTGTGATGATGATGCCTCCCTGCGAAGAACTTTTATCCCTTACAAGGAAAATTTGAAAGAAAAATTGGAAAAAGTCTATGAATTTGCTCGTAGTTTGAAGCTTTAAAGTGATAAAACCAAGGCCAGGCTCGGCTTGCATGCTACTGATGCATCTTTCGAAAGAGGTGACCCAACACGGTTATACAATCTTACACATAAGAAAGGACTTTGTCCAAAACTTCAGCGAAACTGGAAGGCTTCTACACCGATTGTGCAGAAAATACACGATCTAATCTACTGCATCCAGTTTTCAGCTAGAAGTAAACCCAAGATAGTTCATATCGAGAGATTAGCTCCTTACCATGAAACTGATCCACCCTGTTGGCTTCAGTTTGAAATAGTAGTATTTTGGGTTTTGAAGTTTATAGTTTTCATTGAGTTATTGTAAACAAGTATTGTAATATTGTTGGTGTTAAATAAAGTTATTTTAAAGAAGTGTAACAATATAATTTCGGAAAATATGATTGCAATTGACAATTGCAACATTTTTTAAATATTTGATGTAAACACGTAAAATATATAAAACCCAAAAGATTCAAAAGAACTTACCTCCCAGAAGCAACAACGGAATAATACAAAGAGCAGCCAACTTCGTACTTTTGTTTCTGTTCTCATTCTTCCATAGCAGCCAAGTATCCATTAACATCACCGTACTCGAAAGCTTATGCAGTTTTGAAAACCAGGATACCGTTACACGGAAACCAAAATACAGAATTGACAAAATAGTAGTTACTACCTTCGTGACCGTAGTAATCGTACTGGTCCGCATTTTCGTCCACCACGTCGTTGTAACAGTCTTGTGGCTCGTTTTAGAGTAATTGGACTCATAGTTATTGTTAAACAATTGTCTAGGCTTGTAGTCAGTAACTAAATCTGAGTGACTTCGAGATATGTATGATTCGGTGTTGGTATGTTTGTGTTCGACGTTGGTAAAAAGGTGTGATTCATCGCTAGACGAGTGGACCGAGTGTATAGTTTTCCGGGACATGTTAGGCATAGCCACGACGCCAGGAGCTAATTCGACCCTATCTCCCGAGAGCGGCGAGTATGTATAATCTGTTTTTGGATATACGCTGTAACAAAAAAAAATGTTATGAGCACAGTTAGATCCGTAATCTCTATATTAATAAAAATGCATCACCGAAATGTTTGTATGGGCATCAATTCAGAACGACTACACCAAATTAGATAATTCTTTTTTATTGTATTTGTTATTATCAGGAGAAGGTTTGTGTAAAAGATAATTTTCAAAAAAATTGTACAAAAATACCGTTAAAACAGTTTTTTTGTAATTTTAAATTGCAATATAACTATTATATGGCGACATACTATTACTAACAAAGGAAGCTATGATTAACAAAATAAATGTCAGTATTGATAGTTTGGACAAGAGCCAAACCACATTGAAAATACGGGTAAGTTGTAAGGGTGGTTCACCCCAAACATTTTTTATTTTTTAAAGAAAATTTTTATTTTTATTTTTTGAAGTTACGTATACTTCTATACGCGCGTTCGACGTTGGAAATTTGTACGGGAGTGAATGGGCAAAATCGTTACATTATGTAAGGTATAGGTAAGAGAGAGACAGAAGATATATTTTCTCTTTCTTTCTCTCTAGACAATAAAAATGTTCCTTTTGTAAATATATTTAATATTTATTAATATTATTATTTTTCCATTGTGTTCAGATTTGTCTTGAGCCTCGTTAGACATGTTAAATTATAAATTAAAACTTGTATATATCTCAAGAAAGTTCAAATGTGTACTTATACATAGACACAACAAACAACAATTAAATCTTTGTATCCGTCAATGTCAGACAAATTGACAGTTGTATCACGAAAAAATATTTTTATTTTATTAATATTATTATCATAGTAAATTAAACATATGCGTAAGTAAGTTATGTATATTGTCATTTTGAAATACTTATGAATATTGCATTTTAATTTGTATTGTATTATTATATTGAATTATGTTGTAGTGTATTGTATTGTATTTTTATATTAATAACAAAATAAACAATAAATTTTATTGCAGGGTATGTGTAAAAAAATTTTTTTGCATTCAACTCATTTCATACATATATGAAAATAAAAATATACATTTTCATCAAAATATTGATTAAATCCTTCATTTACTATACTCCTATTACAGGTCAAATGTTGTTTATATACAGCAAACGATGCACCATATACCTATATACCTAATTGTGTTTCTTGTCTGCTCTATCTTACCTATAGCATTACATATGTTGTAACGATGTCCTCATGGTTTAACAGTTTGAACCATGGGAGTGTCAAGGTTGACGCATCCACCTCTTCAGCGAGATGGTGAGTGGGATTCGGAGCGGTTATTTAAGGCATGTGAGTAGCGGCATTATTCAGTCTCTAGCTAGCGCTCTAGGCTCCCGACCCGCAAGTGTACTGAACCTGCGAGACAACCCGGACAGAGAGATGTCCGCACTGAGAATCATACTCTGTCCTTAACTAAGCAGATTCCGTCGGCATTGTGTACTGAACAATCGCCGTGGACCTGCACAGCCGAGTATTTTTGCGTGCGAGTGTGATCGGAGCTTCCGCTGTATTGAAACGGAAGCGAGTATAAGTCTGCGTGCGATCGAATTCACATATTTGATTTGTTGTTATTAATAGTACCTTTTTCTTTCTTTTATAGACGTTCGCCGGGAAGTTCCTTCGTCGAGGGATCCAGACGAAACGTAGAATTCGTTTTATTTTTATTTTATACGGCGGAGAATTTATTTTATTTTTATTGTACATTTATTGAATTAATAGACATATTTTTATTTTAACCTGTGTTTTACTGAGTCTGTCGTCCTGAAAGAGCTACCCGTTACAATGTAATGATTGTGCAGATTGACTCCCATATAAATTTGTAACGGCGAACGCGTGTATAGAAGTATAATTTCTACCGGCAGTCCCACTGGTCTGCCACGCCCGTTTTTGTATGATATAGCATTAAAAAAATACATACAAAGCTTAATTTTCATTCCTCTACCACTAGCTCCTATTTGTTAATAGCCATATTAGTGACAGAGTTAGTTGTCATACTCTTCCAAAATAGCTGGAGCGATTTTTACGAAATTTTACATATATATTCGGTATGATCAGGGGTAAGTTTTTTAATATTAGTCTTATTAATGTATATGCCCCAACAGAGGACAAGGAAGACGAAGAAAAAGACAATTTCTATGAGGAATTAGAAAGAACATATGACAGTTGTCCCAGAAATGACATTAAAATAGTAATCGGTGATCTGAACGCAAAAATCGGAAGGGAAGGAAATATATATACCGCACATCGGTAGATATAGTCTCCATAATGATACAAATTCGAATGGACACCGAGCAGTCACCTTCGCAGCCGCAAAGAACATGATCGTAGGAAGCACATGTTTTCTACACAAAAAAAATACATATGTGGACTTGGACCTCACCTGATGGACTAACGAACAACCAAATTGATCATGTGATCATAGATGACATTCTTCTATGATCAAGCTAGACACTTCTCAAACCTAATGGATGTCCGCACCTATCGAGGCGCCAATATTGATTCAGATCACTTTCTAGTTGGAACACGAATTCGAGCTAGAATCTCAAATGCGAAGAAGGAGAGAAGTACCAAAACAACGCGTCTCAATATTGAAATCCTAAAAAATCCGCAAACAGTAGAAAGGTTTCAAAACTATATCGAAACTAAACACATAATTCATGAGGACCTAACAATTAGTGAACAATGGGAAATGTGTAAAAATAATATTAAAGAGGCAGCAAATAATATTCTAGGGCCAGAAAGACCACCACCAATTAATGACTGGTTTGATGCTGAGTGTGAGGACATTACAAGAAGAAAGAACTTGAGGTATTAAAAAAGGAAAACCAAACAAGAAAATTCTACAAAACTCTGAACAACGCAAGAAAGGAATTCAACCAAGGCTCAGACTATGTAAGGATAAGGAGGGGCATATACTAAATACAAAAGAAGAAGTACTGAAAAAGTGGGTGGAACACTTTAAAGAACTACTTACTATAAAAGTAGAAGATTCAGATCTAAATCAACCACCCGGAGGAGCAAGCAACAATTCACCATTAGAACCTCCGTCAATTCAAGAAGTACGAGATGCAATAAAACACCTAAAAAACAATAAATCTCCACCACAGGAAGTGATGGTATACCCGCGGAACTTATCAAATGTGGAGGTGCCTCTATGACTAATCAAATATATAAAATAATACTGAGAGCCTGGAATGAGGAACAAATCCCGGAAGAGTGGTGTATTGGAATCGTTTGCCCGCTACACAAAAAGGGTGACCAATTGGAATGTAGAAACTATAGTGGAATAACCCTCCTTAATACAGCATACAAAATATTTTCAAGGATCATATATGGTCGCCTAAGTACATATTCAGAGGAACTTCTCAGGGAATATCAAAGTGGCTTTAGGCCTGGTCGATCAACAACAGATCAGATCTTTGTGCTAAGGCAAATACTGGAAAAAACCAATGAATTCAATATCGATACATACCATCTTTTTGTAGACTTCAAATCTGCCTATGATAGTGTCCTAAGAAATAAATTGTATGACGCAATGAATGAATTCCAAATCCCCGATAAACTGATAAGATTGGTTAAGGCTACAATGCGTAATGTGGTTTGCAAAGTCGAAATACAGGGCGAACAATCACAGGCGTTTGGAACGCATGTTGGGCTGCGACAGGGAGACGCGCTGGCGTGTCTCCTTTTCAACATAGCACTGGAAAAGGCGGTCAGAGATGCCCGAATAGACAACAGAGGAAATATTTTTAATAAATCATCCCACATTTTGGCATATGCAGATGATGTGGACCTAGTTGCCCGCACAACACGTAAGCTAGAAGAAATGTATACCACCTCAAATGCCTCAAAATCTATGGGCCTGCAAGTAAATGAGGAGAAAACTAAGATGATGGCATCAGCACCCAACAATAGAGCCAGGAACATCGGTCTCCAATTCACGGTTGATAACTCTGCCTTTGAAGTGGTTGACAAATTCACATACTTAGGCTCCCTGATCACCAAAGAGAACGCCATAACGGAAGAAATCAAGCGAAGGATAGTAATGGCAAACAGATGCTATTTTGGACTGAGTAGACATATGAGAAGTAGAAACTTAAGCCAAAAAACAAAAATAACTATATACAAAACCCTTATACAGCCAGTGTTGACATATGGATCGGAGACATGGACCATCTCCAAGGCAGACGAAGACCTTTTGGTTATATTTGAACGAAGGATCCTGAGAGGAATATTTGGTGGCATCTGTGAAAATGGTGTTTGGAGGAGGAGATACAACTACGAGGTATACCACAGATATAAACAAATATTTGGTGGTAAAGACGTAGTATCTCTTATAAGAATAGGAAGATTAAGATGGGCAGGCCATCTAGCAAGATCACAGCAGAACAACCCTCCTAGAAGAATCCTTATGTCACAACCCGTGGGAAGCAGAAAAAGGGGTAGGCCAAAACTCAGATGGAAGGATGGTGTAGATGAGGATGGTAGAAAGATAGGCGCAGCAAACTGGCAACGGTCGGCAATGGATAGGACTTCCTGGCGTAATTTACTTGGGAAGGTCGAGGCTCTTTCATAGGGCTGTAGCACCATTGATGATGATGATATTCGGTAGGTCTGAAAATAATGGCATACGCGGCAGAAACAAGACCTGACACAGAGAGGACAAAAAGGATGTTAGAAACAGCAGAGACGAAAACACTTAGAAAAATTGATGGTAAGACACTAAGGGACAGAGCTAGAAGTACAGATATATGACATAGACGCAAGGTTGGGAGAACGTTAAAAACTGGGTAAGAAATAGAAGAGTAGAATGGAAAGATCATATAAGCCGAATGACAACAAATAGAGTAGTAAAGACGGCAAGAGACAGTGCTCCAATAGGAAGACGATGGAATGACAACTTACTTGGTAAATTGAAAAACATACAGAGTCATGTCTATATAAAAAGAAGAAGAAGAAGGTCTGAAAATAGATCGTCATCTATTTTTCATGCCCCT